TCAACAATGGTACGTCTTTGAATTTATATATTCTGATTATAAGTGTAGAATATACCAACATTTTAAAATGTATTATTTCAAAATGTTTCGTCGTTTTTTGCTTAAAATTGTAATTATTCTTTTAGATTTATATTAAAATCCTGATGATGGCTTATAGTAGCCCGAAACGTCGATTAAACATGTTTAAATAAACATAATTAATCCATGAGGAGTGTGTTATTTCCTAGCGAAATTATCCTTATAATAATAATATTTCGAAGATATTATGATTTGTTATTAATTAAAAGACGCTGTCTTTTATTAGACAGGTTGTGATTGATTAACTGGAAACCGTAGGGAAGCATTTCCGTCCACGAAAGAAAAGATAAACTGCATGTTTGAATTTCTTTTCAGCTGTCACGCGATGCCCCAACGAAAATTGGTGTTTACCGAGTTTAATACGGACCGACGTGTTTCGGAGTTGGAACACGTTACACAATCCTTTCATAAATTTATCATGGGTCCCGGAGTGCAGAGGCGCGTTCTTAGACCGTATTGCTACTCTCCGCTGTCTCGTTTCCGTGAGACGAAATTATATTTATTTAGAGCTCGGTACGGTTTGGACCACAATGGCATGCCGCAGTCCATATAAATTAAACATTGCGTCTCGGACGATTATTTGCATGCCACTAATGCGATAACTCCGCTTTTGGTCCTTTGAATAACAGTAATGATAAACTGACCTTGTGGCTTGATGTTTGATTTATGTACGGGAAAAAAGGGCCCCACCACTTTCGATGCTGTCGAAGTGAAATTGAAAATATACGGTTATGTTTCCATCCGGACGCACCAAGCAGTCGGTGATGTATGGCTTTTATAGGCGGCAATCATTCTTCCTTCCGTCCCGTCTTCCGATAATGACAATAAAACCGGCACCATCGTCCCGTCGGCCATGTCATATACCACGTCCCCCGGAGTTATCTAAGATTATTGGGGCGGACGGCCACGGTTTGCGCGTGTGTGTAACCCCCGCGGTATCGTCTTGTGTGGTATATGCACGCGTTAGATGGAGGAAACTGTTCCTGCCATAAGCGCCAATAAAACCAGGATGCCCTAAAATATGATAGCTTGATTTCGGGAAGTGGAGGGATAAGGGAGATAGCGGAGTTATATAAGAGCGATTCAGCAAATTTATCGTGAGTAGCCCCCAGACACAAGAGTCACGACGGAATTTTAAGCTTCAGGCAAATAATTTTCTATGTGATATCTTCTTCAAAACCATATTTATGTATTCTAACGTATTTTTTTTTACGTCGAGTTTTCTTGACTTAAGATTAGTAGCGGGAGTACATAATTGAAGTGTTTTTGCGATTACCGTGATTAAAAAATGGGCGGCCAGTTTTTGCAGGACGCCATCTCACCTCTCTGCCCGGAAAATCGTCCGCTCTTAATGGCTTTCCGGTCTGGATGTCGCAGCCAGCTAGATTTATTCCGATACGCTTCGATTTAATCCGATTATTTCGAGTATTTCGAATCGAAAAAGGATGGCGGACGGGTTAATAGAAAAATGCACTTGTATTTAAATTGGAAATCAGTCTTAATGTATAAAAAATCCCTATCAGATCAATTTCCGCTTTCTTTCTTCATGACACATGACGTCTTACGTAATAACGTTAATTGTATTGGACGTTTGGTTAAGCGGGATTTCAATTTAAAATAAGAGGTTTAATAATGCAATATAAAAGTTTTATCGAAATTCATTTAGAGCACGGCGAGCCAACTTTAGCCTACCGGTCTCGGGCATACATAAAGATTAAGCCGTGATGAATAATTCAAGACGCAAAAGTGACTTGAGGTATGTCCGCGTTCTTATCTGGTCGCCGCATCGGCCGGTTCCGTAATTAGCTACTTTAGTATGCCAGTTTATATCACAATAAGAAAAGGCCGCAATTTGTCCGCTGGGGGTGGAAACAAAGTGGTCGCTTTTCGGCCAAGTAAATCCGAGCCTCTGCGCAATTTGTCATCCTCGAGCACGCCGTACAAAACAACCATTTTTCCCTTGACTGCTGTAATAAATGCACAGCTACACAATAGTCCTGTAAATCTCTATGAAATCCCGCGTTCGCGGATATGGGCCGAGCGGGACCGATGAGTTAGAATGCCGCGATTATTTTCACACAAGGGAACGTAATAGGGGATTACGCGAGCAATACGTTTAGTCCAGGAAGTTCCTACGGTTTATCTCAGCTGTAAATTGTTTTCGAATCCTGTATATATCCCGGTTTATATTTTACTTAAAATTCTTACACATTTACGATTATGGTGGTTTGAGACGTATTCTTAATTCAAAATAACGTTAGACAAAATTATTAAAGGATCTTAATTAAACGGAATAAAACACAGAAGACGAAGAAATGCTAGAAGAAGGGTAGACAAAGTAAAGAATAAAAGACAGGAGGCTGATTCAAATAATGAGAGACGAGGAAACAATAATGTCACAAGGAAAAGAAGATAATAAACTTGAAAACTAAACGATAAGAGGGTATTGATATATTGCAGAAGCAGGAAATATACAGAAGATAGAAAAAGAAAGGATAAAGTATGAAGGCAAGATGAATCAGAACGAGGTTCAAAAGAAGTTGAGGGCTTCAAAGGTGTGAAAATGGAACTGTACCTATATCAATAATGAGTAAGAATTTAGGATCGATAATAGAAGGATACCCACATCGTATGAAGAAGAAGATCCATTGAAAAAGTCAACGTGATCAATATTAAAGAAGCACTAAAACACCATCTTGTGTTTCCATTGCCCAGAATTAGAACATGTGAGCCACAGATGCTCTACAAAAACGAGTTGCTATACATTTTAGGGAGGGCAATTGCGCAGGAATTCACAGTTTAACAAGTTAGATTAAGAAAATGAGAGTTCTTCCCAAAATAATGAGTAGAAAAATAAACAGTGAGTGAAGGGAAGAGTTTTCCTCAAAAACATAGGAACCTCTCACAGCTATCTTACAAACTGCAGCACAGACAGTTACCTTTAGGCTGCGAACAGAGTCGTTGATAAAACTCTTTTGGGATGTACAATACCGAAAGTTTTGTATGTTAGCGGAATTAAAGTGGATGAGGGCTTCCTCTTCTCTCCTAACATTGTTTCTACAATAACTAATCTTCTTGTGAAATCTTGACGCTGTAATTCTTGAACTACAGCAATTTTGTACTAGAATTGTGACATTGAAGTGTTTATGGAAAATCCACCGAACACTCTTACCGGATATCTCTAGAACCTGAGCATGACGAATCTGAGCTTATATTGTGTGCGGAACTGTACTATATTTATAATAAGACAAATTGTCGAGAGAGTCATTGAATATATAGTGTAATACAATAGCGTATACAATAGCAATAGATGTTTGATTGATCTTACGAAAGCGTTTGATCGAGTAATGTTTTCTGCTGTTAGATAGACAAGTCTTAGTCTAACAAGGAAGTAACACAACTGTGGCACACCAATTTCGATGAAATTTGGTACAGTCATAGACTGGACCAAAATAAAGTTGATAATACGGGTTGAAAGTTTGGGGAAAAAGTAAATTTTTGCCTATATTTCGAAAACTAAAATTTGGTGAATTGAAACTAACGTTCATTTTTAATAAGCTTTCATTTCATGCATCATATACCACATTTTCGGGTTGATTTAAAAACTATCCTATCGATTTTGGTGGCGTTAAATATACTTCTAGTGTATTCAAAAATATTAGTTAAGTATTTTTCTCATGCCTCGTAAATCAACCCCAGTGAAGTTACGGGGGCTAACATGTAACCACTTTTCATAAGAATGTTGTGATCAAACTGTCAAGTATTTTGAAAATATTTTAAACAAAACCCTAAATTAGTCACACTGTAAAATTTTTTGTGTAAAGTGAGGCATATACGACATTTGGGGGTTAACTAACCCCTTAAAAATTGATTCTATTCTAGGCGTTACGTAAGTAAAAGAGAAGTAGAAGTAAGAAGAAGAAGTAAAAATGTTTGAAAATGGTTATAAAGGCTGGAAGTTAGGGGAAGAGGTAAATATAAAACTTATGGATAAATAAGTTATTTACTTATTTATGAATTCAAAACCAGCTAACAAAAGAAATGATTGAATAAACCAAAAGATTTTATCGCGTAAAAACTTTAGCGAAAGATTTCGTTAAAGAGGCAAAGCAACGTTGTAAGAGAAAATAGAATAACGTAATAACGTAATGTAATAACGTGAAATCGCGATGTTAAAACCCAAATATCTAACAATAGCAAATTAGCCAGACTTTTGTACACTATCAACATAATATGCAACAAGCCTATAGAACAGGTGATGCGGTTTATTTCTTTTTCGTCAATATTACAAGCAGCTGGAATCTCCAAAAAGTTTTCGAAGTTGAACATTAAAATCTAAGTGATCCGGTCACTATTTATGATGGTTCGGGGTGGTTGGCTTCAGGGCGATCTTTACAATATCATCCGAAGATGATATTGTTAACTTCTTGTTATCAATACTCGCATCGTAGTTGATACTGATATATTAGCTTTAGGTGTTTTGGTGGCGAAAGCATGGATGGCCGACTGAAATTATTCGACCTCGAGGAGTTATTAATAACAGGGGTTTGGTTGCCTCGTCAAAACAGGGTTTGCCCTTGTTAGGCTGGTACTAAGACTTTCCGTAGAATAATTAATATACGTATTTCCGGTTTTTTCGTAGTAATGCAAAAAAAAATCAATATTAGTTTCATTTTAAAACTTCTGATAATGGATACACTGCAAATAAAACCGAAATTAACAGTCATGCTACTGAAAAGTTCCAATTAGCTATTGACACAAAAGCGAATTTTGGACAACATGAAAAGTGGATTTAGAAACGACAGAAACATTCCGCTGTTTAAAGTTTCATCCAAATTTTGAATTATGATCATGTTAAATCGTTTTGGGGTAAACAATATAATGAAGTTAATAGTAAATTAATTAATCTTTTAACTACTTACCTATAACAGTTAAATTTATAGCAAAGTTCCGTGTGGGTGACGTCCGAAAATCGACTCTGCATTTGTAGACTCCCTCGTCATGTAACTGCACGTGGTCAATGTTAAGGGTTGCAGGTCGTTGATCGGTAACGAAATAGGCCCTTGGTCCAAACATCGTAGGGTCAGACCACTTAATGGCATCGCCAACGGGTCGTCCCCTAACGTCGAACCTAAAAGTGGCAAAGAAAAGAATATTTCAGTTAAAAGAAAAGACGAAGTTGGCTCGCGAGTATCCTATAAATTTATTTACGGTGTCCACAGCGGGAAATCTGGACAGTGACAAAAGACAGTCGTGACGTGCCCCAAATACTTTAAGCTTTTTTCAAACTTTCGCCGACGGCCGACCTTCCGCTCACACGTACCCACTTACCCTTACGATGAAAGCACCCACAGCTTCGCTTTGTTACATTGCCCCTTAATCCACCCTATTTTTAAAACAAACAGAATTTATCGTCGACGTTCGGGAGGAAATGGGATAAAAAGCTGGCGCCTTCCGTTCATTTCAGTCGATACGTTGGGTCATCTTCTGGAGGGTAACTTTTAACGAACTAGATAGCAAAAGTTCATTATTAAGCTTGATAATAATTACCTTCGTTCGTTCATTCGGGCGCTATAATTTTTAACGATCTTCTCGATGAGTTTTTAACGAAACTGAATCAGCTTTAAACTACATATCGAAATCTTATCTCTAGGTGAGTGGTATCGTTTCCCTAATAGCATTACCATTGCGACGCAAAATTGAAAGCGGAGCGTTTGGTATTTTGCCCGGATTAAAACCGAATTCGACTACCCTACATATGCCCAAATTCCGCTGGTTTAAATCCTAAAAGACCGTATTAAGTATTCATAGGGCACTTGCCCAGAGTGTATGCCGAAAGTACGTACGAAATAACCTAAGTACAGGCCTTCAGTAATTTATTTGACTTTAAGCATCCGATTTATATTTCAAGCGATGTGATAACTAGACCCTTCCTCTATTTATTACTCTTACTATACTTGCAAGTTGAAAGCTCGCGCATATAGGTTTGGTATTCATTGATATTTATAAAGGTTATGAGAGAAAATATTTAATTTTTGTAACTTGTTTAAAATTTTTCTTGTTAAGTGTAAAATCGATTTTATCACTGTATTTTTTCATATCCAGATGGAAAAACAAAAAAAAAAGGATGGCACAAAAAACCCAATGAAAGTTAATAGCCAATTTGACCTAATATAATGCCATCCTGAAACAACGTTATTTTAGGTCGAACAGGCTATGAATTTTTAGAGGTTACCTTAATCGAAAACTATTCTTAAAATATCTTGTTTTTTTATTTTACTAGATAAATATATAATAAACAAATTATATACGCAGGTACACCTAACCAATATAATATGGTGTTGTGGCTATTGATGCTAGCGTTGTTTGTTTACTTTCAACTTCTTTCATTAAATCGCTTTTTACTTTTCTCCTCTTTATCTTTTATACACGATATGCTTTAAACGCATAAGACGAAATGAGTGTACAAAGGGAGTGTAGTTTTGATGAGGTTCTCTTTCAGAGATCTGGCACTAATCCAAGTCAAAAATATCGATGATGGTTCTTATAAAGGCCATGTCGTACCAAATTGAGTTTGGTGATTTCAATAACCAACAGTTGAAAATTGGTATCCTTATCAGAACGCCAAAGTGGCAGCAACTTCTCTTGCCTATCGAGTCCAGTCTAATGAAATCTAACAGTTGTCCGGAATATGTTTGCTATCAAATTAGAACTCCTAGTCACAAGAGGAGCTATCCAGAAAGCATTTTCTTTCCTTGAGACAGTTAAGCCAGGAAGACGATATTCGAGATACGGGCAAAAATAAGGATCGGCTACTAAATAATGTAATTTTACAGCAACGCTTCTGGCATAGAGTGCTGCTTTTCTGTTTTTATTGTCGGTGGTTTACAAAATGAAAATGCTGCAGTTATAGCTAATACAGTTGATCAACTGCAGTAATGTCTTGCTTGTTGCTTTTGAAGGCTGTGATCCGTAGAACTTGGAATTTTCCTGAAATCAATTCAATTAGGTGTTGTGTATGAGCCGATTTGATTTTTTAGCTACCAGAAACGATCAGAGTGAAGATCCAGCATCCAGCATCGACATCTGATTTGACGTTTTGAGATAACTCCTTGATACTTCGCTGGGTTTTATAAAGCAAGTCCTACCTTTAACGAGGATCTCATTATTGCCCACCTTAAAGTTATCAATTTGTGTTAGTGTATCGATCAAATGCTGCTGAATATGCGATAGGAGACTGATGGCTTTGATAGGGGTACATTAAAATCGCCATTGCGTTGTAATCTTTTGTTGGCTCGTTCTTTTTGAAATAATGTGAACTGTTAGGAATTTTTAAAATGCTTTAGCTTTAATTAAGTTTTATAATTGCCATAAATAACACCCACAATTTTTTTAAGTTTTACCTGGTAATTTGATATTTTGAGATTAAGTTGAAATTGTACAGAAAACTTCGCAACTTTGTTTCTAATAATTTTGTTACTCCAATGTAATATGTTTTATAAATAATTTTAAAGCGGAATGTTTTAGCTTTAATATGGTAATAAAATTGTTTCATAATTTCCATAAATAACACGCCACGATTTCTTTTAAGGTTTACCTTGCATATTGACATATTGAGATTAAGTTGAAATCGTACAGACAACTTCGTGATTTTTTTCCTAATAATTTTGATAATCCAATTCAACAATCGTTAAAATCGTTTATAAATGGAGTTTTTGTTTCTTTATATATATTATATTATATTTATGTTTTTATATGAAACAGTTTAGATGCTTTAACATGTTTATTTACGAACTAAAATATAAAATACTATAAATCCCTCACAACAAATGAAATATTTTTTGCCAGAAACACGCTTTTAACTTTTTGATGAATTTCATAAAATTCCAGTTAAATCCTCTACATATTATCCTTCACGTTGTTTTTCGAAACGATTATTTTTTAACATCGAACTGTTTCCTAAACATTTATATTTCATATTTTTAGGTGATTTTCTTTCCATTTTATGTGTATAAATTAAAACTTCGTTTTTTGCACTTTAATGGATTTTATTTATTGTTTTTTTCTCAACCGGTTTCGCTATATTTACACAGCATCTTCAGGAGAGTTACGTCAATTTGTTACAAAAATATACTTTAGCTTGATTCATTTGGTAATTCCTTGTTTATTTCTATTGTTAAACTATATAGATGATATTTATTAAGTATGATTGAATAGGATTAAAATTGTTTAGATACGTGATGTGTCATGGAATTCGTTGTCAAAGTTCGTCAAAGAACTTTGACAACGAATGACAAAAACGAAGTTTTAATTTATATTTCATGTTGAACGATATAAATTGTGGTGAAAAATTAAGACTCCGTTCGGAACCGGTTCGAATAAGTGTCAACGTGTCGATTATCTCGTTCAATCTTAATTGAATAACTCCGAATTAAGTCCTTCATTTTCAACACAATCGAGTTATAACCTCACTCGAATGTGCTATGAACTGGACCAGAATTACCTATTAGCTTGAGCATTGTTCGACATCCACGAATTCAATTTCCTCCCTAACATTGATGAGGTGGTGTCCACATCCTAGCGACTATAGATTTTAATTTCAAAACTAAAACTCTATTTCATCGATTATTGCATTATCATTAAGCCAAATCTGACTGAGATGGTATCCATAAAACATGGACTTTTCTATAATTCATACAAAAATTTTAAATTTTAGTTCCACCATCAACATAGTAACTTCTATAATTTCGTCATGCCGTGGACCAATTCATTTCTGGTGGAAATTTTTAATTAAACCGCAACGAAAGGGGTTGGGGTTTCACGTCTCGGACTAAAATTAGAGATGGCTTCCCTGAACCACTTACTTGTTCTTTTAATAAACGTGCATAATATCGTTTGCGTAATAAAACATTAAGCAGACGAGAAGCCGGCGTAATTGTACGACAGGATTACTTTTATCCATTATATGTGCTTACTTCTGTGAATGGTAGCAAAGAGTTGGAATACGTTTTTAATTAGAGAGTTATTTAGGCTCTAATTAAAAATCTGGTGATCTATACGCGAATAAATCTTTTTCAAGCGGAGCACATCCTTTCATACAAATAAGCTGGATGAAGAAAATAATGCAATATTAAATAAGATGCTTTGAGAAATAAAATTGGAAACTCATAAAGAAATCTGTATATTTTAAAAGAAGTAGTTTACGTAAACAGAGCTCTACAAAATTAGAAAAAAAAATTGATTCAGATTAAACTTTCACCGTAGTTTTGTTATTCATCATTTTTACAAAGCTCTATAGAGTAAACACGCCTATGGTCGACCGGTGTCAGTAATCGACCATCTGCAACTATAAATTTAATAAATAAAAGTGTAGTAAAATTTCTTCTATGAAAATTTTTATCAATAATTAGTTGCCAGTGTCTGTAACCCAAATTACAAGTAATTGCGTAAATACTGGTGGTAGTACTGCCCTAATTTGTCAGTTTAGAAAAGTGCATACCGAGTTAAACGTTTGAGGTAAGTAAACCTAGACTTTTATTTAGCATGACGTCTTTCATAAATAAGCATAGAAAGTATTAGAATATTGTTTTACTTCAATCTGGACATAGACACAGTTTTAGATAGAACAGTTTTACTATTTCTTTAAATAAAGTTGTTTAAACATAGTACATGTTTTTATTTTCGGGTGATCGAATATAGGTTTTATAATTAATATAATCTTCCATTAGTCGACTACTGGAGTATTAGTGTACGAAACGTTTTCTAGTCGTGGACCACTTCTTACAATACGTAAAAATTCAAAATATTCAAAATCATAAACAGCTTTAAGAGGAGTGTCCTCTCTAGTTAAATATAGTCAATTCTGCTTAACTCGACTAATATTAATAATAATAATAATAATTTCTGTTTTTCACGGATTTTCACGGTTTCAATAATTACATTAAAAATTTCATTTACAATTCACACAAATCCTTACAATTATTAATAAAGAGATGTACAGGTGGGCCAAATTGGACACTTTTAAAGGGAAACTCCTCTTTCTATAAGAGATAGAGGAAAAAATTAAATAAAAAATTTAATGGCGAAAACCGCATATCGATATCTCTTACAGTTTCAGAGATACAGGAAATT